AACTTCATACAATTGTGGATTCATTTCAAGAATGGCATAATTATCTAGAAGGCACTTTCAATTTAGTCACTATTATCATATTATCTGAAAACTTGCTTGAAAATATACTAGATACATAGTTGTGCAAGATTAAAAAAAATTTCAATAACAAGTCTTAATAATTCTAATAGAATCACATATAAAGTTTAATTAAAGTTTAACAAATATAATCAAACATTGATCAAGTCCAATTAAAAAATACAAAGAAATCCTAGAGAACTTTTAAAGAAATCATAAAGAAATAATAAAAAAATCCAAAAAAATCTTAAAGAAATCCTAAAGAAGTCCTAAAGAAATCTAAAAGAAACCTTTATGAAATTCAAAAAAAAGACCTTTAAAAAATCCTAAAGACATCCTAAAGAAACCCTACAAAAATCTATAAGAATTTTGAAAAAATCTTTTAGAAATCCTAAAGAAATCCTAAATCCTAAACTAATCATAATTAGATTCTAAATCCTAAATCAATCTTAATCAAATCCTAAATCCTAAATCCTAAATCAAATCTTAATTAAATTTTATATCTTAAATCCTAAACTAAATTCTAAATAATCTCAAAAAAAACCCTAATAAAACCTAATCAATTCTAACTAACCCTAATATAGTTTAGAACTTCAATATCTATTGATTAAACCATTGATCTTACTTAAAACTATACAAACCTCTCAATTTTTTAGTTAATAATAAGCACAAAAAATTTAAAGAAAGTCGAATTAACCAAATAGGAAAAAAAAATATTATAATCCACTCAAGTATTGGTTGGCCTCTATCTTTGACTATAATATTGATTTTTCAACAGTGATAAATCCTAATTGAACCATTAACTTTCTTTAAAAAATTTCACAAGTATTAAAAGTGAAGTCAATTATTATCTTCAATAAAAATCACTTCAATCCAACTAAAAAATTGTTTCAAAACTTAGATTATCTTATTGGATCTAAAAATCCAATTTTAAAGATCTTAATCTACTTAAATTTTAATAACCTCCAATCCAACTGTTCGATGAAGTTCAAATTCTTAGCATAAATTTAGCACAACTATACTTACAATTCTATAAAATTTCAAGTATAGATTTGCTACCAAACTTATGATATTGCCCAAATTATGAACCATATTTTATTTCATAATATTCAAAGTCATACAAAACAACCTTGACTTTGCAAAGCTCTTACAAAGTCATTATAAACTCAAATCACTCAAAACCAATGTTCAAAAAAATCTTGCAGTCTTCTTCTAAATCCTATTCTTTGATTTGCAAAAGAACCTTGGAATTGCCATAGGTGTGCAGTTTTGTCCCTCAAGGTTTGATTTTGATCTAACTTGACAACTGATACTCTTTGAGTATCAATTTTTGTCTTTATGAGGTAATTTTTTCTAAAAACAACTCCTAATTCCCTCTTAAATATGTCTATATTCTTTATTTTTCTAATCTACTTTATTTTACCTTATTTATAGTTCTATAAAATAAGTAGAAACCTACTTGGAAAAGGCAACATTTGCACTTTTAGTTTACTATTCTTTAACTATTATCTATATTTCTAAGATAATTTGCTATAATATTTTGAAATAAGATCTTCTAAAATATTATATTTTCTTCATTCTTTCATCTATTAGCCATGTTACATCATGACACCATCTGTATTGATCATAAGAACCTCAAGTATTTCATGTCTACACATATTTTAAATCATTATAAAGGCCATTGGAGCATATTTTTATTAAGATTTGATTTCAAGATCACTTATCAATTCAGAAAACAATAAGGTTTGTCAAATGTTGTTGTATTATGTGAAATCTTGCTTGAGAATGCATTGGGCACTTGATTATAGAAGGTAAAAGAAAATTGTAACAATAAGTCCTAACAATTCTAATAGAATCATATATAAATTGTAATTAAATATTAAAAAAGATAATCAAATATTAAGTAAGTTCAATTAAATTTTTAAATAAGTTATAAAAGAAACACAAAGAAATCCTAAATAAATCCTAACTAAATTCTAATCAAAACTTTAAAAAAATCCTAAAAAAAACCTAGATAAATTCTAGATAAATCTTAGATAAATTTTAATCAAACCTTAGACAAACCCTAATCAAATCATAGAAAAATCCTAATCAAATCTTTTAAAAAATCTTAATCAAATCCTAAAAAAATTCTAATCAAATCCTAATCAAATCCTAGACAAATCCTAATAAAATCCTAGATTTTAAATCAGCCCTAAATCTTTAAAAAAATCTTAATAAATCCAAAGCAGATTATAAGCTCTATAAATAATAATCAAACCATCAATTTCAACTCAAATTTTGCATACATCTCAACAACTGAGCTAGCAATAATCAAAAATATTTTTAACATGATCAAACTTACCAAATAGGAGATAAATCGTAAAATTTGTTTGGGTGTTGGTTGGCCTCCTTCTCCAATCTTGATGCAAATTTCTCAAGCAAAAATCTCTTAATTCTACCATTAAATATCTTTTAAATTTTTCATATATATTGGAAATCAAAGTTTCTACCTTTAGATATAAATTTCATCTCAATCCAAATAATAGATTGCTAAGAACTTAGAAATCCTCACTAACCCTCAAAATCCTATTTCTGAGATTCTAATCTACTTGAACTTTAATGATCTTCAATCTAACCATTTGATCATACTCAAATTTACAATACATAATAAAACAAACTATAATAAAAAATCTACAAATTATTACTAATAGATCTACTATCAAACTCAAAATTCTCCTAAATGTAAATCTTTTCTTTTATTTCACAAAACCAGATTTACTAAAAAAACCTTAACTTTCAAATCCCACTCTTTGATTTGCAAAAGAGTCATAAAGTCGCCATAGGTGCCCAGTTTGTACCTTGGGGTTTGATTTTGACCTTGGTTGGCAACTAGACTTTTTTAGGTATTAATTCTTGTTTTTTTGAGGTAATATTTGCCAAAATCAACTGCTAACTTCCTAGTATATATGTCTATATTCTTTATTTTTTTAATCTACCTTATTTTGCCTTATTTATAGCCCTACAAAGTAAGTAGAAGCCCACTTTGTAAAAAGGCAGCATTTGCATTTTTAGTTTTACTACCTTTTGACTATTATCTACATTTCTAACATAATTTGCTTCAATATTTGAAAATAAGATTTTTTATAACATAATATTTTTTTCACTCTTTTACCTATTAGCCATATTATATCATAACAATGTCTTTTTTAGACGTTTTTAAGTTGCACCAAAAGATAGAAATGTAATTTTTGATCAACAAAGAATAATTTTCTTGAAGCGAGAGCATTTTTATCTTTGAGCAATGTAATCAACATTGTCTATTAATTCAATATTTTTCAAGAAAATTTAATCAAGTATGTCATCTACTCTTCTTATTCATGATATTAAAATAATTCTTCTAAGTATCATGATACTTCTAAGTTCAAGTTCACATATCCTTGCATCATGTATCCTTGCATCACATATCAAATATCGAACATATCCTTGCAACATATGGAAGGGCAATTAATCAACTATGCTTGGCACCTTGTTGCCATCAAAGGTATTAATCTTCTTTCCTCTGATTCTTTTAGTAGAGTCAAATTAGGTTGAACCACATCCCTCCAACTCTTTGTGATGATATATGTAAAGGTAGTATAATCTATCATTAAAACATTCTAGATCCTAGACATTCTTTGAGTAGTTGGTTCTACCCAACTTCCAATTCGCTATAAAGAATAGTAGTTATCACAAGGATATTTAGGTTATATGTACATAAAAATGAACCCAATACCCTGTTGATGACATTTTAAGCACTGTTGATGACATTTTAAGCAGGAAGATTAGACAATTGTACTTAAGGTGTAGGGAAAACAATGCAGGCAAATGCTGATGCCCTCATAGTAACAACCCGCTCTTCTCCACTAAATGGAGAAACCTACAACACAACTGTTTCGAATATGAAGTTGCAGGAAATGATGGTTTATTTTGAGATGGTCATTGTAAGAAACCAGTTTTCATGAACAATACTAAAAAAGGTGAATAAGCACACCCACACAAACACACGCTATTCACATGATTAATGCTGTAAACTACTCACCATTTTTTCCGATCATCACAATGATCGCAATAAACACGAATTCAATCACAGCAACAGGCATAATCGTGCTGTCTAAGCATCAATTTTTGTGTTCTATGCTGAAATACTAACTTACATCGCCCTTTATCACGTCAAGGCCACGGAAAATTCAAATTTTAATTACAACTCAAATATGAGTCACTTGTCCCCACTTTTCGGCCTATATAAACAGCTAATAAAACCAATATACGTAGTGACAAAAAAAAAAAAAAAAAAAAAAAAAAACTTAAAGGTAACACAACATAAGCCAACAATAAGAAGCGACAGCAGTGCTAATGCACCAATGACTCGTCAGAATCAATTACTTGAAAGATAAACGCCTCAAAGAAATTTTCCTACATGTTTCCACTTAACCAATTCTACACAACAAACATCAATATCATGTATTCCATTTCAAAGAGCAACTCAACCACTATGCTCCAAATTACCAACCATCTTGACTCCAACAAAGATGCAGTGCGAACGCCTACACGACATCATAGTACAGAAATTTCTGCATATCTATATAATTAGACGAAAAAACCCACATTATCACAGTCTGCAAATTTGCAGACTAAAAACGAGTTGCAAAACATCCTGAAGAGCTAAGTCCATGCTAAAGCCCGTGCAGCTAAAACACTAATAGAATACAACTAAAAGCAAAGCTACGCGAAATCAGACCTAAGGGTTTCAGTAATATACATGTTTCTGAGGATACAGTTTTGAAAAACAACTAACAATATCAACAATTAAGCTTTACAATACATAAATCTCAAACTAATGGACTAAACTTCGGCCATCTCACAATATTATTCAGCTACTCCATGCATCAGAGGATTTAAACACACATTAACAAGAACATACATAACATAACTTGCCAAAAGAAGTAACATAGCTTTGTTTCAACTACTAAAATACAGAGGAAGTCAAAATCAACCGAGAATGCCCCCGGCCAAATATATCTTTCCATCACCCATCACTAAAAACTACACTTTCTCAAACAATTCCAAGAACCAATCATTCACAGCAGGCACTTCATTTTCAAGAAGTACATACTCCACCTACGTACACTCCCTGAACCACCACCACCGCCACCAAAATTATACTGGGCCATCGACGCCTCTGTTGGAAAATCCCGTTCACCCGTTATCAAACTCAACAAACTCGCCCAACTAATCATCCTCATTCACGCTCGCTGCAAATGCAACTGGCGCTCCTTTGCACAGCGCCTGCTGCCCGTCCAGCCCTTGGGCAACAGCATTTCACCAACAAATCAACCAGATCCGAAGTACCAGCACAGTAGCGCCTGCGGGTGAATCACAGTCATCAGTATCACTTGCAACGCACTCCCGTCCAATTACAACACCGCTTCTGTAACCTGTCCAACACCTCCTGGCAGCCTGCTGTACCACCAACGCACATGGGCCTCCTATATCCCAGCTTCTCCCCACCGATTTCAAACCCAACCCTTCCGGTAATCTGCTACGTCCTCCAGAGATTCACACAACCCATCCCCACACCCCTTCTAACTTCTCCATCACCCATCACAACTCATGTTCAACGACTATCAACGCTCCTCACCGTGGCGGCGTACGCGTCTAGTTGCTCCTTCTGAGACCGTCTGTTGCTGCCCCTGCGTCACATTCAACCAACTCCTATCACCCACATGTTCCCTCCCTACCCAACCTTCCCCATCTCCAATTCCTGCCCTCCACCACACCCACCAACCATGCATTCCCCAAGCACCGCATCCACACCGTGCATCACCACAACTCCAACAGGGATCTCGATGTTTACATGTCAATCATGTAGTCCAGCGCATCCTGCGAAGTCCCATACTCGTCTTGCAAATATACTCGCCACTCTCTGCAATACGCCACCACAACTGCCTCAGATCCCTGCTGCTCCCTGCAATGTGCACTACTTGCCCAACGGCGACACTGTCCGATCGCCGTGTACTTCCCCTTGTCGATCACCCCACTCGTATCCCTACTGCCGAAACCCCTGCCTGCTACACATCATCCCTTTCCCCCACTCTGTCACCCCCATTGTGTGCACCGCTGCACCTTGCAACTACTCAACCACAACTCACTCCTTCACAAGATCTCATCATGTGACATTGGCGGTGGGACTTTACCGCCGACCAACGATATTCGCCAGCCTCCCGGCAAAGCTGCGGCACTTGTTGGCTTGGTCCGAGTCCTTGCCATCCCACGCTTTGGGCAGCCCAACCACAAACTCGTCTGCTCTCTGCGCTCCACCCACCCAGCCACACAACACCACCATCAACGTCTTCGCCGAACACATCCTGCACCGCTGCTACCAAAACCACTCACACCTCTCATGACCTAATCACGCCATCTCTCCAAACCCCTGAACACCACCCCCCTTCACCGAAATTCGCACCACTTGCACCAGCCGACTGGAACGAGGTGCACGGCTGAGCAAGGACGTGCGTGTACCACATCATCATGTACCATTGGGCGAACAAGACTCTCGCTAAACGTGGGAGACAATTGCGACACACTTGTGACCCACATTCTTACAGTCACACAAGCCTTTCACTGTCAAAGTCTCCCAACTTCGACCGTAACAGCAACAGGCTTTAGCCACAGAAACTCATGACCATGCGCGTTCCACAACGTCCACTCCAAACTACACAACCCTTCTTCCGTATTACAGCCCGCACGACCATAGTCCCCCTATCACCTCGGCGATAGATTCCGAAAGAGTCAGCTGAACCCACAATATGCAACATACAGCTCCTCTCTTCCAACCACACCGCGACCAGAATACACCCGGATGTGGAGCATGCCCAGCAGAGCATTGTCCTGTGTGCCAGCTTCAACGCCATCCCTTCGGAATCCACCCACCGCTTGGCTTCACCAACACAAAGGGTGGGCAGGAACACGCTCACGGACACACGAGACGCCCCACGTATCTCCCACGCCCGCTTCGTGCACTACGAAGGTTGCAATAGCACAAAAGCTTACGGTCAAAGGCCGGGGCGCATAACCACCCAGACTGATCGCCAATCCAGTCTTTGCATCCCCGAGATCCACACCCACTGTGTGTCCGCGCACCCTCTCTCCACCTCTCGCCCTCTGCGCATTGCACTCCAGACTGCCAATCTTCGCTTTCAGCTCCAACCTCAGCCGGGGATCCTCCGCCACGCGCTCTGGACTGCCATCCCCGTCTCCTCGCCCAGGGCTTGCTTTCCCGAGCTTCTCAACCCCAGCATTCGAGTCATTTCGAGCACACACAACGCCGACAGCCCTCAACCGCAGCTTCCTCAGCGGAAACGCTGGCGCGGGAACAGAGCGCAGCTGCCGAATGGGAGTTCTAGGAAACAACACAGCACAATTCAGGGTGCTCACATGGCGCCCTCCGAGACTCATCCTGCCCAACTAGCCACTCACTGCACATGCGACGCAACAGTCCCCGAACACAACTCAAAAGAAAACATGAAGGGTGCAAACTGGACCCACTACTGCAACAAAGCCTGCCTGTCGTTCCCGACCATGGTGGTCTTTGAGCAATAAGCTACAGCTTCTCACGGCTGCCACGCCAAATGCAACCAATCCACACCCCACACCCCCTGCTCCCTTCTCTCTTTCTCTTTCTCTGTGTGTGTGGGTGTGCAATTTCGGTTTCGAATATGCGTTGCGGTTATATTGCCCTCCAGCATTACTTGCATTCGACAACTTTGACCAGAACTAAACGTTCTCTCGGATTGGATTGCGCATGATTCCAAGGCAGTTACGACGATGGCCTGGTCGTTGGAGCACCGACAGTGAGGCGGAGAGTTCGAGATGGCGGTGCCACTTTTTTTAAATTGTGGTCTTATCGGGACAACTGGAATTGTGAACATTTTTGCCATTGACAGCAATCTATCTGAGCGTCATTCCACTTTGGGACTGTTGTTAAATAAGCTCACTCCGCACAGTTCTAGAAATTTTGTTTGTGTGCTACAAATTTAGCAAATGTTTCATTTTAATGAATGCTTTTGGAGTACTGGGTTATTGCATCTTGTCGTATTGTGCTTGTTGTTGTCGTTCCAAAACTAGAGTTTTATAGATGTTCAACGGTTATCGGTTGCGTTGGTTGATATGAAAATTGTTGTTGTGAATGAATGAACGTATAATTAAAATGGCATTGATGTTCTAACTTAGCTTAGCAGAATTAGGAGGTGTTGAATTGAAGGCGCTTAATTTTATTTTTTAGAATTTTGGTTTCATAGTTACTTAGCCTGTAATTGTATCAGTATTAAATAACCAAGTATAGTTTTATACTGCATCGTTTAAAAGATTCGTCGAATTTGTCTAATTATGCAGATTTGTTATGTTATTTTTTTTTAATTCACTATTATTATTTCGTGTAAACATTCAAAAGATGTTTTTGAATTTGACAAGTTTTTGAATATTGAACCATGTTAGAGATTGGTGGTGTTATGAAAATTAGTCTTTCATTGATGTGTATGTTTAAAATGTAAATTGGTTTTTGGTTCTTAAAAACAGTGTTGCAATGGCTTTATTTCATTCTATCTTATGATTTATGTTGATGGCTTAAACACAACTCTAGAATTTGAAGACATAGTTTTCTATACACTAAATAAAGAGAAGCTAAGATACTGAGTTTATGTTATCAAAGAATAGAAAAATATGCAATAGTTATGCGAAATCACTTCAAGACTCTGTAATAAAATTGTTGCTTTACATGACATATTTGTCATCAATATATTGAATGACTTCAATGTGTACTCTTCAAGATTTTCTGTGTATACATGTTTTGGAAGAAACTATGTTTTTAGTAGATCAAGATTCAAGAATTCCAACCAAGTATTTGTTTTGAATATGTGAAAAACGCAAATTTACTGATTTTTTATTTGGTACTATTAACAAAAGTATTTTGCTTTTTCCATGATTATAACCCATGTCAAGAAAACACACTTTGATACTTTTTAAAAAAAATAATGTAAACAATAAATAAACAAACAAACAAATTTGGCCACAACAAATTAGTCAAAATATGTACTATTGAATTAACCAAACTACAAATGCCAAGTTAATAAAAATATTTTAAAATATACAAACATAAAATATGAATTACCTAGTTCTGATTCTTCTCGGTAAAAACCATGACATGGTTATTTTTCAAGTAAAAGTAATAATCATCTTTGTGATATTTCAGAATAAATAATACTTGTAAATAATTCCAATACAGGAAATGACAAAACATACTTTTATTAAGGTTTTAATCTACACGTGGTATGATAACATCTGTATAAAAAATTGTGAAGGAAAAGTTGTCCCTTCAAATGACTTGTAATTGCTTAAACTGTTTAATCACAACCTTTGTGGTTGTTGATTGTGCAAAAACATGATGACTATTGAAATTTACTTTAAAAGTGCTTGCATCTCTGAATCAGAAGACTTTTTATGACACAATCAATAATCATTAAGCACGGTTTAAATCGGATGGTTTTTTTTTATCACTGAAGATTGAAAATAGGCATCTGATCTTGAAGTAAACGCTTCCACAAAACCATCGCTGCTTCATTAAAGATACTTTCAAAACAGAACTTGCAAGAGGATCTTGTATGTCAAAACTCACAGTAACTATTAAAAACACACCCAGTGTCACTTCAGTTGTAAAAGCCTCCATAACAAAATCGAAACCTCAGACGACAAAGAAGCAAAGCGAACGAGATAGAATGAGCATTAGAAAAGGGTAACTCGAAAAAGTAAAAGTACCTCTGCCGGGGCAGTGGCGGGGGCAGCTGAGATCTGGGGGATGGGCAGGGCAGGGAGGGCAGGGCATGGAGGGCAGGACGGGCAGCAGGGCAGCAGATGGGGGTGATGACGTCCAGGATGGGGATGCAAGTCCACATCAATTAGGTCTTTCCCACACATAGCCCCCAACCCCCCTCTCAACCACGTGCGCAACCACGCCCCTCGCGGAGTTCTGCCAGCATTGTGGCCGTTGGATCGGGGATCCGACGGCAAAGGCATGAGAAGAAGCCCTTGAAGAGGCTGCGGCGAGTTGTGCCCTCCCCCTTTCGACTTCAGAGGTCTCGTGGGGGAGTTTGCTCCACCGCCAGTGCTGCTGCTGCTGCTTCAGTTGGAGTTGTGCGAACTTGTTTTACAACTCTCAGGTACGTAGTTGCTCGGGTTTGTGTGTGGTTTGTATTGTTGGGTACTGGGTGGATTGGGGCGATGTCTGAGATGTGCTCGTGAAGGTCGTGAAAGTTGGTGAGTGAGTTAATAGTGGTATTGGGGAGATTGGGATGTGATGTGCAGTGAGATGGTGGGTAGTGGATGTTGCAGTCCGAGAGAGCGAGCGAGCGAGCAAGCGAGAGAGATAGAGAGAGAGAGAGAGAGAGAGAGAGAGAGAGAGAGAGAGAGAGAGCACTATTGAGAGAGTCGGGGTGAAGAGCGGGGCAAGGATGCACAGGGTTTTGAATTTGGAGAGATGCGGTAATGGGGCCTGACGTGAGATTGGCGTTGGATATTTTGGCAGACAGTTGAGCAATCATGGGTAAGGAGAAGGTGCACATCAATATCGTGGTCATCGGCCATGTCGACTCTGGCAAGTCGACGACCACTGGGCACCTCATCTACAAGTTGGGAGGTATCGACAAGCGTGTGATCGAGCGTTTCGAGAAGGAGGCGGCGGAGATGAACAAGCGTTCGTTCAAGTATGCGTGGGTGCTGGACAAGCTGAAGGCAGAGCGCGAGCGTGGTATCACGATTGATATTGCGCTGTGGAAGTTCGAGACCATGAAGTACTACTGCACTGTGATCGACGCGCCCGGACATCGCGATTTCATCAAGAACATGATCACGGGAACGTCGCAGGCAGACTGCGCTGTGCTGATCATCGACTCGACGACGGGAGGGTTCGAGGCCGGTATCTCGAAGGATGGGCAGACGCGTGAGCACGCACTGCTGGCGTTCACTTTGGGAGTGAAGCAGATGATTTGCTGCTGCAACAAGGTGAGTTGAGAAGACACGGCACAGTGTATATTTGTATGGGGTCAGTGAGACTGGATTGGGTCTGAGCACGGTGTCTGTGAGAGCCGTGAGGTGTCACGGCACAATGAGATAAAGTGGTGATTTTAGGAGTAGGGTGTATGGGTATTGGTGTATTTGAGGGCTGATGTTGGACTATGTGTGGATGGTAGATGGACGCGACCACCCCGAAGTACAGCAAGGCCCGATATGAGGAGATCGTGAAGGAGGTGTCGGCGTACCTGAAGAAGGTGGGGTACAACCCGGAGAAGGTTCCGTTCGTGCCGATCTCAGGGTTCGAGGGCGACAACATGATCGAGAGGTCGACGAACCTGGACTGGTACAAGGGCCCGACTCTGTTGGAGGCGTTGGACAACGTGTCAGAGCCGAAGCGGCCATCTGACAAGCCTCTGAGGCTGCCGCTTCAGGACGTGTACAAGATTGGAGGCATCGGAACTGTGCCAGTGGGACGGGTGGAGACAGGAATCATCAGGCCAGGTATGTTGGTGTGCTTCGCACCGACGGGACTGACGACTGAGGTGAAGTCGGTGGAGATGCATCACGAGTCGATGCCTGAGGCGCACCCAGGTGACAACGTCGGGTTCAACGTGAAGAACGTGGCGGTGAAGGACCTGAAGAGAGGGTACGTGGCCTCAGACTCGAAGAACGACCCTGCCAAGGAGGCAGCCAACTTCACGGCGCAGGTTATCATCATGAACCACCCGGGACAGATCGGGAACGGTTACGCACCAGTGCTGGATTGCCACACGTCGCACATTGCGGTGAAGTTCGCGGAGATCTTGACGAAGGTGGACAGGCGATCGGGTAAGGAGCTGGAGAAGGAGCCGAAGTTTTTGAAGAACGGGGACGCAGGGTTCGTGAAGATGATTCCGACGAAGCCGATGACAGTGGAGACGTTCGCGGAGTACCCACCATTGGGACGTTTCGCGGTGCGTGATATGAGGCAGACGGTGGCTGTGGGTGTTATCAAGGCCGTAGAGAAGAAGGAACCCACCGGCGCCAAGGTGACGAAGGCCGCTGCGAAGAAGAAGTGAATAGTGCGGGAAGGGGGTGAAGGCGAGGCGGAGAAGGGGGCGGAGTGGCGGTGGTGGGTGGAGAGGTGGATGTGGAGCATGGAGTTGCTGACTTTGAGTGGTTGGTCGATATATTTGTTGCAAGCGCGACAGAGGCAGACTTGGGTACTTGACAGGAGATGGCAGGGCATAGTGGGCACGAGGGCATGGGTGTAAGAGAGAGGGAAATAAGAGAATATATGATCTCTTTTTAAAGTACAAATGCGTGGTGTTTTTTGATGTGGTTGATGCTTGTGGAATGTAGGATGACTGGTGATTTAACTAGTTCTGGATGGTATGTGGATCAATTTGGGTTGATACTGTTGGGATAATGTGGTTTCATCTGGATTTGTGCAACAGTTTTCTTGGAAGTAGCGCAATTAAGGGCTGTGAAGTATGAGTTCTCTTTTGACAACTTTAATTGTATGGGTTTGTTATATAATACTTCTGGAGTGTTCCGGATTATAATTTTTGCATAATACTCGCCACGATCTGCGGTTGGGCTGGTACTTTTGACTAGTAACATTCTTGGTGTGCAGCACAAGAAATACACCTCGTTTTTTGTGTTGACAGACAGTACCCGAGAATATCCATGACCTTTATAAATATGCTCCCTTTCCTTCTTATCAATTTGCTTGAACGACGTTCAGGAATGAAATGGAGCAGTTGAATTACGGTATTGTAACCATAAATCTAATTTTATTCTACTAAATCTGTCTTTCTCACGACACTTTTCTATGGTAACATGAAAATACTCCTTAACTTATTGATCTGTTGCCACTATCACAGTTCTTGCCACTTTGTGCACTACAATTGTAAGAATGTAACCCGGCTTAAAGCCAAGTTTCTAGATGAATTCATCTTAAAACAAGGTCCCCATGAAACGAAGAAAATGTTTCCAAATGTGGCCATTGTCGGAACAACCCTCTTTTGAATGTAATCACCCGGAACTGGTCCACGAAAAATAACACTCTTGCAGAGAACTTCCTGGTAGAATTGTGGAAATAGAGTTGTGGAAAGGCGAAATTACAACAAAATCCGACACACTAAATCCAAAATGTAAAGAATAAGTACTGCATGATGTAAAGAAATTGTTCGTGTATTTTTTGGTGTACACGTGGTTCGTAACTTGGATTTGAGTATTAGCATAACCTTTAGAGCAATTTGCAGTTATTATTGTGGCATTTGTAAAATGAAAAAATCATTGTTATTCATACATGCACCACACAGGGTTGTCATTTATTTAACTTTTTGTGAGTATTGTCAATTTAGATTTGAATTGCCTTGTTAAAAACTATAGATACAATTCATGGATACTTATATTCACACAAACATATTTTTTGCATTTTTTGTTGCTTAATTTATTACATTAGAAAATAAAATCTAATTTATATCTCCTTTTTGAAATTATTGTTGATTACTTAAAAATTTGATTTTTCTGTTGGCTCTTTTTCACTTTAATAATTTTTTTTGTGTATATGGTTAAGAATTTTCAAGTAGTATCACCATTGATTGTTTTAGATTGCGGCACAACAAGCTTTCCTAGAAAAAGCTTCTATGACCAAAGAGTCACACTAATTAGAATAAAAGGACAAATGTCCCATGATCCTTGGACACTTGGCCAGTATAATATAAATATAGAAAATATGATCTTTGTGGTCAATCCAATTATTATGGGTGTTTTGTCACTTTTGAGTAAAATAAAATGACAAATGTCATGTGAATCTTGACCTATACTCTAAATATGGTCAATACTCTCTTTATGACTTATCCCAAACAACATGGGGATTTTAGATCCTATAATAGAATAGAGTATTTTATTAAGTAGCTTCAACAAAGTTAAATATATATTTTTTTTTTTTTGTATATGGAAACATTACCATCATTTGAATATATTTTATTTTGCAATCCAACAACTTTATTTTATTATATTATATCACATTAATGCATTTGTGCTATATTAAGATCATACAAATAGATGCAATATCTATTACATAATAATGTATTGTGTTAGCAAAGGATTTGAAGCTTTAATTTCTTGTATAATTTATTAGTAAATACTATTACCTTATTTGAAAGAAAAAACTTATATATTAGTCATAGTCCAATCTCAAAAAAAAGTAGAACTTAACAAATTTTATTTAGAATTGTATCTTTCTAAAAGTATTTAGTCAACAAGATATTAAAGTAAAAAAATAATATTATGATTTTATCAAGTGTAATATTTATAACTTCTTTAATGTGATTTCTTATATCTATTTTTGTTATATATTATAAGTTTATTTTTATGAATCTCTTAAACCACGAGTGACATTATCCATTATTCATTTATTTTTATTTTATAATATTTTATTTTGTATAACAAATTATATTATAATAGAGCATATTATAGCCTTTTATACACTATAATTCTTTATGATAGAAGAAATTATTGATTTTGCATGTATATAAAATTTATAATTTATAATTTTATTAAATATATTATTTTGATTTGTTTTTTTTCTTTTTTTCTTAAGTATATAATTAGATTTGAATGATGAGTTAAGAAAACACATTGTTTAACAATGATGGATTTAGTTTGAATGCATATTTATATGAAGTAGGCTATATACAAATTTATTGCAAATATGGCTTTTGTAGACAATTTGACTTTTTTTTAAAATTTCATAGGTAGAAACTACCATGTGTAATATCATCATATTAAATAAATAGACCTAGGTTTGCTTGATTTTGATGTTCGAAACCTAGGTCTACCCACCAATTTTCAGTAGACAGTACCTAACTATCCAGGTTGGGAATTTCAGATTGCTAAAAACTCATGCGCGTTTAACCTACTTGCAATCCCTGAACCACCACCACCAACATTCTGTTGCACCATCGACGCCTCTGTTAGAGTATTCCGACATCACCATTCACTCGTCATCGAAGTCAAAGAATTCGCCCAAGTCCTCATCATCCTCATACACTCTCACGGCAGATGCGACTGACGGGCCTTCGCACAGCGCCTGCTGCACGTTCAGTGCTTTCGGCACCACCATTTGAGCACCACTTCCACCCGATTCAAAATACCTGCACAGCAGCGCCTGCGAGTGAAACCATGTTCGTTAGTATCACTTGCACCGGACTCCCATCCAGTTACCACACAACACTTCTGTGACCTGTCCAACACCTTCTTCGGGCAGCCTGCTGTACCAGCATCACACAGCAGCCTCCTACACTCCAGCTTCTCCCAACCTACGTACCCTATCCTTCCAACACTCTGTTACGTCCTTCATAACTTCACACAATCCATCTACAATAGCGTTCTAACTTTTCCACTGCATACGTCCTCCCTGCTTTGCGCGTGATCGCCCTTTCATCTCAACGCTTTCTAATTTTGCTCCACTACATCTCCAGGACAGGCTTTCCCACGCCTAGCTACAAGAACAAGCACACTCTGCATCGCCAACCACGCGTTACCCCCCAACAAACCACTACCCATACCACTCCACAACCATCGCCCACTCTCCCAGCTGCCCACTTATGTTGCGTCCTATCCAACACTTCCTATTGTCATTTCGAATTGCCCCACCCAACCACCATTCATCACCCGTCACCCATCACAACTCATGTTCAACGACTATCAACGCTCCTCACCGTGGCGGCGTACGCGTCCAGTTGCTCCTTCCGAGACCGTCTGTTGCTGCCCCTGCGTCACATTCAACCAACTCCCATCACCCACATGTTCCCTCCCTACCCAACCTCCCCCACCTCCAATTCCTGCCCTGCACCACGCCCACCAACCATGCATTCCCCAAGCACCGCATCCACACCGTGCATCACCACAACTCCAACAGGGATCTCGATGTTTACATGTCAATCATGTAGTCCAGCGCATCCTGCGAAGTCCCATACTCGTCTTGCAAATATACTCGCCACCCTCTGCAATACGCCACCACACCTGCCTCAGATCCCTACTGCTCCATGCAATGTGCACTACTTGACCAACGACGACACTGTCCGATCGCCGTGTACTTCCCCTTGTCGATCACCCCACTCGTATCCCTACTGCTGAAACCCCTGCCCGCTACACATCATCCCTTTCCCCCACTCTGTCACCCCCATTGTGTGCACCGCTGCACCTTGCAACTACTCAACCACAACTCACTCCTTCACAAGATCTCATCATGTGACATTGGCGGTGGGACTTTACCGCCGACCAACGATATTCGCCAGCCTCCCGGCAAAGCTGCGGCACTTGTTGGCTTGGTCCGAGTCCTTGCCATCCCACGCTTTGGGCAGCCCAACCACAAACTCGTCTGCTCTCTGCGCTCCACCCACCCAGCCACACAACACCACCATCAACGTCTTCGCCGAACACATCCTGCACCGCTGCTACCAAAACCACTCACACCTCTCATGACCTAATCACGCCATCCCTCCAAAACCCTGAACCCTTTCTTCACTGAAATTGCACCTGCCGAAGGGAATCAGGTTCACGTCAGAGCCGGTTCGTGCGTGCGCCCCACCGTAATGTACCATTGCGCGAACGTGACTCTCACTAAACGTAAAAGAAAATTGCAACTCGCTTTGTCAACTGCTCATTCTTCCGGCATATGTCAATCCACCAATCAGCCCGTGTTATCAACCAACGGTCGACATAATTCTTACCTCACGTATGCCGACTTGCAATATGGTTTCGAGTAACTTGTCTCCCCTCTGCCGCACCACCTACAACCACAAGGTACGTGAGACACCTCCTTCCATCCCTTCGGAATCCACCCACCGCTTGGCTTCACCAACACAAAGGGTGGGCAGGAACACGCTCACGGACACACGAGACGCCCCACGTATCTCCCACGCCCGCTTCGTGCACTACGAAGGTTGCAATAGCACAAAAGCTTACGGTCAAAGGCCGGGGCGCATAACCACCCAGACTGATCGCCAATCCAGTCTTTGCATCCCCGAGATCCACACCCACTGTGTGTCCGCGCACCCTCTCTCCACCTCTCGCCCTCTGCGCATTGCACTCCAGACTGCCAATCTTCGCTTTCAGCTCCAACCTCAGCCGGGGATCCTCCGCCACGCGCTCTGGACTGCCATCCCCGTCTCCTCGCCCAGGGCTTGCTTTCCCGAGCTTCTCAACCCCAGCATTCGAGTCATTTCGAGCACACACAACGCCGACAGCCCTCAACCGCAGCTTCCTCAGCGGAAACGCTGGCGCGGGAACAGAGCGCAGCTGCCGAATGGGAGTTCTAGGAAACAACACAGCACAATTCAGGGTGCTCACATGGCGCCCTCCGAGACTCATCCTGCCCAACTAGCCACTCACTGCACATGCGACGCAACAGTCCCCAAACACAACTCGAAAGAAAACATGAAGGGTGCAAACTGAACCCACTACCACAGTACTGCTTTCGCCTCCTACCGGGCCAGGGTGGTGTCTGAGCGAGTGACGCCTCGTATTGGCGACCACGGCAAATGCAGGCGCGAGAGCACGCATCCCTCGTCGTCCTCTGAGTGTGTGGGGGTACAGGCCTTGTCACGCAGAGCTCGCCGTGGTCCTGGATGCGCTTACCGGCCGTGGGCGTCGCCGGTCCTAGTGCGTCCTCCGTATCGGCAATCCTTTCTCGATCGGGCAGCCTGGAAGGCGGGCAGACGCTCCCACGGTAATACACTTACTCAGTGGGGATGGGTGTAGAGGGAAAATTCTGGCAGCTCACGATTCTTGTCAGAGCCAATGGTTGGAGCACAGCTGTCTTCGACCTATTGCCGAGCAAAGAGTTAGGACCCCACCAGAGGTGCCGATGAAGACGAGGGAGCATGATGACGAGGTGAAGGATACGTAGAGCTCGTGGATGAAACGCATTCATTCAAAGCGTAACATACACACGTAGAGGAAAATATATGCACCTCAATACCTACCTGGGACAGTGTCCTCGACAACCTTTTATATTAGAATGAGAAGAGCGTTTAGCCCACAAATTGCGGCGCAGAATGAACCTCATTGGGCATCATATGATTTGTGTCAAGCCCGTTTCTTATCCCTACAGGTGTAGAGGGATCCCCCTTGTCGCAAGATTGAATCACGACGGCGTTGTTTCTCGAGGCGCGTTGTGAGTATTGAACAATGCGACCGACATGATTTATGTTGGTGAGGTCAAAATGAAGATTGCAGTGAATCAAATCATACCTTGGAACTAGAAACGCTATTATCGTTGTTTCAGGTCGAAGAGGGTCCATGTGAAATCTTTTCTTTTCTTCATCTTGGGTGTTAATGCAATACGGCCCTGTGTACTTCGCCCAAAATTTATCCTTTTTCTTACATAGCTTTTTCTTTTGATATAAGACTACATCTCCAACAGCGAAGTCTCGTGTATATGTTACTTTTTTGTCATGACCCTCTTTCTGCGGCCGTTGTGCTTTGCCAATGTTGGTGTGCGCTTGTGTTCGTAACTAGTCCCGTTGTTGTAGTAACTCATCAAGCCACGTGTGTAAGTCGGTGGGTTGTGTGATGGCTAGTGCTGGAGCCAGCAGCACTATTGGCAAGCGTGGTTTGCGCCGATACAACATTTCGAACAGCAAGAATCTAGTACTAGAATGAACGGTGGTCCGGTAGGCGAACACAATCGCCGATAGCATTGTGTGCCAATACTGGTCATACTCCCCATTTTTCTCAATAAGCAAACATAATGTCATCTTAAATCTTTTGGTCAGGCTATTACACTGCGGGTGGTAGGGCGATCTAGTGGTATGTTTGGTGTGAAGGTGAATGGCTAGCACTTTGAGTAAGGCGATACAAAACTCGCTTCTGTTGTCATTTAGAATTTTGATGGGGCTATTGTGTTTCACCATAATGGAATTAAAGAAGAATTGTGCAATTTGCTCACATTCTTTGGACTTCAAAGCATGCACCTCGACCCACTTCGTGAGGTAGCAGGTTGCAACAATCACGTACTTATTGCGCCATGACGTCCATGCCGACCTTTGCTAACGGCTCAAAAACTGGGATCGAGGTTAATAATCAGAGCTGCATGTTTTTATCATGCGTACATTTTACCTGGCATGTCGGGCATTTGCGAATGTAGTTTGTTACATCCTCAACCATGCCAATCTAGTAGTAAGCATCTTGCAACCTTTTCAACGTTCTTCGTACGGCAAAGTGTCCGGATGTGCGAGCCGCGTGGAATAGTTCTAATACCTAAGGAAGTTCAAAGGCCCCGGGAACTCTCAAAATACGAATACCCTCTAGAGCGGACTTTTTGTGAAAGAGAGTACCATCTCGCATGAGGTATTAGGAGAGATGGTACCTCACTCTCTTGGCCAGCGTTCTATCCAGGCCGATGGCGATCGAGCCAGTCCGGCAGGCTTCAGAGTGCATCTAACAATGCTTCTTTTATCACGTTTATTTTTGAGCAGAGTGTTTTGTTGAGGGCGGGGTTGGGAGTGCCTGTCTTTGTGGTCTCCTCTCTTAAAGACCTAAGCAACTTGTCACAACAGTTGGAGCTCGTGATGGATCCATCGTTAGTTTCAATCATCCTGACAATGCAATTCACCCTACTTGACGTTCATAAAGACTGTTTTATGTATGCTGCGAATGTCATCGCAACACCAATCAAAGAAAACACAAAACATATTATTGACATATATAGCTACGAACGTAGTTAGTGCACACATGTTCTGATACAATTTTGAGGTGTGCTGTGACACCCTGCCATTCTCCCGGGAGGCTGATGCGTTGTAATTTAGTAGTATAGAGCCATGAACCATTGGGCATTTGGAGTAGCGAAGCTGTTGGAGTGTGTTCAGGTCGCTGAGCGTAGGATATAGTTTAGGCACGGTGTTTTTAGTGCAAGTTTGTGCGTCTACGTTTGCATGGAGGAGTCCCGGTTTGTGTATGATTGTGCAATCGTAGAATTGCAAAAGTCGCAAGGCAAGGAGGAGTGCATGGTCGATTTTGATGATAAATTCAAACCTATGAAGATATGGGCGAAAATATTTTACCTCAAAGACCAATGTGAGGCCTTCTTTATCAATGATCCCATAATTCTTTTTTGCCTTTGATAATTGTTTGGAGAATGATCCCATAATTCTTTTCTGCCTTTGATAATTGTTTGGAGGCTTAGGCTACCACCAGTTTTGTCAAATGGGTGCAATTGTAGTTATAATGTCATGAGTTATATGCGGTTCAGATTAATGGGACCATTACTAAAGATATCTAGATTTCTATAGATGATATAGATTCCTATTGGAATATAATGTCATTTTAAATCTTGTGGTTAGACCATTGCATAGGAATCTATATAATCTATAAGAATTAATGTTAAGAAGGCAAGATGTTTGAATTATCTAATTGAGCATGACATTATATTCAAAATATTTGTACTTTGTCCAAAATGTTTTCTTCCATTAATCTCCTTCTTTAATCTGCACCAAATTGTACACTATATATAAATCTATTCTAGTGTAGATCCTAGCTTGACTGAATTGCTTTAAAAGCTTTGATATCAGTGGTAATAGATAAAGATTCTTCAGGATTATTTTATTGAGGTCATAATAATCAATACACATTTGCAAAGATCCATCTTTTTTCTTCACAAAAACTATTGGTCCATTTGCTGGAGATTCACAATACCAAATAAAGTTCTTTGCAAGATTTTGATCAATATAATCCTTCAATGCCAAAAGTTTATTTTGTGATAGGTTGTAGATTGAGCTAAACGGTGGTTGAGCCTCTTTGAAGATCAATGGTACTAGGATAGCTACTAGCGAGCTTACTTCTTCATAAGTTGGAGTTGCATAAATAACAAATGGCATTTTTTTCTTAGTAGTCTTCATAAAAGCCCTTGCTTAAAGGAATAAATAAATTTGAGGTATTGGAATGTCCAACTACATGGTCTCTATTAAAGTTGGATCTCTTTATTTTCCTAAAAAATTGCAATCTTAATCCTATTTGTACATTGTTTCTTTGGACAGTTCTCAAATTTATGACCTTCTTCATTACAATACAAGTATAGACCTTATTCAAATTGACACTTCTTCTCTTCTATTATAAGAGGTTTAAACTATATTGCATCAATTTACATATCTTCAACTTTGGAATCTAAAAGTATTGTATTTATTGAAATAATAGAGTACAAATTTTTAGTATGTTGCTTTATCAAAGTCGAAAAGTATTGATTTTGATATTATTAAAATAATCAATAATTATTTTTTACAGCTTGGTTAATAGTCTCATTGAGTGTTTGAGGATCACATAATGATAGTAATAGGTCTTTGACATCATCATTTAATCTCCAATAGAATTGGTTCATAAAAGCTTTTTCATCCCAATTGATGTGACAAACCAATTACTTAAAATCAAATACATAAACTTATACAAAGCATGACCTTTGATGTAATGAGCAAATTTTTATTGATATCCATCAAGCCTTATCATATTTTCTAAATGCCTCTACAAATACTTCTAAAAAAGTCTTTAAAATTATTCAAGATTAGAGTTCTTTTTTCAAATAAAAGATCAAACCAAAATAAGGCTTATCTTGAGATCAAGGTTCCAACTAAATCAACTCACTATTCTTTTGTTGGATAGCACTCAAGTTGTAGAAAAGTTACTAATCAAATTTTATTAATAAATCTTTAAAACTTAGAATGTGTATCATCAAAAAAATTTGAAAGACTAATTTGAGGCTCTTTATGTTGTTGAATAAGTGAGTTTTTTTGTCGAAATACAAGTGCCACCACTTCCTTGGATGTAAAAGCTTGAAAAAGTGGTTGTATTACAGGTTAAACTATTCTAGATCTTATATCACTATAAAATCTTACAAAACATCTTTTTATTTTAGTAGTTCTATGAGATAAAGTATTGAACATGTTCATAATACTATCTAATTAGGATTTAGAAGATTTAACCATATTAATATCTTGACTTCTAGCTATTTTAAAAGAAAAAAATTAAACAATACTAATTTAATTTAAAGAAGAAATCTTGCAACCTCTAAAACATTGAAATGACTTCAAGAAGAGAAATAATCCAATCTTTATTAAAAAAGATCAAGCTTTAGTATTGATAAGAAAGTTAGTCTTGACAAAATGTCATGGATATACTATACAAAAGATCAAATAAGAAATTGAATAAAAAAAATTTCAATAAAAAAGCTAGTAAGAACTTGATGAAATCAAATAAGTACAATATCAACACCAAGAGAGATGAGCTAGAGCTCCAAGAGATGTGTTGTTGAGATTGAAGATCCCCTCACCCTTAACTCCAATATATATTAGGTATTAAAAAGCTTTTTTAGAAATTTTAATGTTGCTTAAGAACAAAGCAACCTTAGAAGGGTTCTCGAAAAGTTTTCATTTTACTTGAAGACAAAAACAATCCTAGAAAGCTTCTTAGATAGCTTCCTTAATCATCTTAGAAATTTTTAGAATCTATTGGAATTTTTTGAAAACCTTCTAAATCTTTTTAAATATTTAAAGGAACTTTTTAAAATCTTCTATTAAAGTATTTTTAAAATATTTAAAAATTTGATAGATTATTTTAAAAATATTCCTAAAATCTTTTGATTGTTTATAACAAAAGTTTTATTATTGATA